GGCTGCCCGCTGCCACTGGAGCGGCTCCTGCCCAGACCACGGAGCAGCTGGACACAGGAGTGGTAAGTTTTTACATACATTGTTATTTGTACTTACGTGCTCGGAGCTGCGATGCTCTGGGGTCAGCTCTTTCTGAGATGAGTCAAGTTGAACTTCACGGATGGTAAAATAGTCCCAAAATGCATCATCATTTCAGCACATGGTAACAATTCCTCCAAGCGCCCGTGCATAAATTGCACACGTGCATCATTTCAAGGAGCGTGGGGTTTTCCACATGTTTCCATGGCAGAGCTTTGATGCAGTGAACGTCTCGCGGTTAGACACCTAGGCATCAGTGATGTGACGGCTCTTCTCGGTTCCTGTCCTTTTTAAGGCTGATCTTCCAGGGAAGAGAAAATACTTGTTGTGAATGTTAACACCACCCTGCAGCCCAGTGTACTGTAGTAATACACAGTGCAGCTCACCAAAGCTGAGAGGCTTAGGAAAAAAAAAAAAAAAAAATCTAAAAAATAGTTCTCAATGCACAAGGAATTAGACTATAATTGAGTCAACAACTACATTCATTAAGAAAACCACCAGAGCCAATCTGTGTGGACTGTGAACGCTCACTGTGAATGTCCCACCAAATCAAAGTCCCCATTGATCACCTATCAGACCACCCCTAAGAATGCTGCCTGTTTGTTTCCTGTGACTAATGAATGAAGCCACTGTGAGACCCACGCTGACTCAGACGTGGTCAGTGAGCCACCACACTCGGTTCAGACGGAGGTTAAAGGAGATTGAGATATTCACAAGTCACCCTCGTGACCCCGTGACCTGTGACTTGATACTGAGGCTGTGATGTCATGTTCTCAAAGCTGGAACCTTCCAGATGTTTTAACAACAGGAGCCAGATTTATTGTTCTGTGATAACTGATTTTTCTAAATCTCAGTTATCAACACTTTTCTAGAAGCTGTTTCCATCAGTGAATCCCTCTGTTGTAGAATTCCTCGGAATGTCTTTGTGCCTAAAACAACTCTCATCACCACAGGACGAGATGAGAACTGTTTTATGAATTTTTATGAAATATTTCTCGATGCCATTTTGAATGTACTTTAAGATGTTGAGGGACAACGTGGAACACAAACAAATGTCCAGATGTCATAGTGTCTCGGAGCATGGCCGTCACTATATGACTGGAAAAACTGAAATCAAGTGTTTAAACAATCAATATTACAACGGTGGTCATTTTCACCCAAACACTAGAATCTTGGGGGTTAATAATGATTGGATGGTAAATAATATTAATTTCTCTTATTTATCCTTTGTAGATTTTTGTTACATTTAAAAAAGAAAACTATAACAATATTTAATTAATTTAGGCAACAAAGAAACCGAACAGTCATTTGCGTTCCTATAGAGCAGGGCTGTAAGAACCAGATCTTTTAAAAGGGCTAACAATAATATAACAGCTACTTAAAATAAAAAAGGGAGTAAAAATAAACAAAGATAAGAGCTGTACTGACATTTAACTGAGAATAGATTAGAGTCGGAATAAGAATCAGAACAGTTTTTATTGACAGATTTGCTTTGGCGTTTGGTGCAGCAGACATAGGAAAATAAAGTGCGTGAGACTATAGTTAACAGACATAGAAAAATAAAGTGCGTGAGACTATAGTTAAATGGTTTAAATAGTTAAAGTTCTAGATACAGAGACATTATTGTTTTAAGGCAGTGGTGCCCAATAGGTGGATCACTTTGGCCTTGGTCATTTGGAAAGTAGCTCCCAAGCCATAAAAGTTTGGACAGCCCTGTTCTAAGATCTCGGTCCAATATTGGTGGACCAAATTTGTACGTACATTTTTTTTATAGTGCCATAGTTTTGAGGGAATTGCGAGCCATATGAAACTTTATATCCACCGGGATATCAGTTGTGATGGAGAAGCTGAGGACGTTTTTCTGACTTTTTCTGGATTAGTCATTCCACATTAGACATTCTCCATCAACTCCCTGTGGTAAACCCTGCCCACCTTTCTGTCTCTTCACCCATGCACACAGCACATTCAGAATTGAAAGTATAGTCAAGCCTCCACCCATGCACACATTCAGAATTGAAAGTATAGTCAAGGGGCACATTCACAGTCATAGTCGTTCCTGCACTGTTTCTGAAATGACCCTACAGTAGAACAACTCAGTATGCTGTGGAACTGTGGCAGGCACTGTGTTTTTTCTTCTTGTAGCTATATTACTGTCATTATTTATTTTATAGTTTTTTTCAATTCTGTCTCTGGGTTTATCTCAGGTTCTTCTTTATATTTTCATCCATATTTTGTTCATTTGTGTAAGTTGTGACTAAATATTGAATTGGAGTAAGTGGAATGGGCAGCCAATCCAAACTGTGCTATGTTGAGAGAGGGATGGACAGTTTTCTAGTCCACACAGGAGACAACCAGTCACTCACATTCACACCTGTGGTAAATGTAGTGTGAACAGTTAAGCCTGATCCTGCTGCCCCTTTTTCATACTGTGGAAAGATTTTACTGTATCAAGTCCATGTCGTTAACCACACCTCCACCGTTTGGCAACCTAGTGGTCAGATGTTCTGATGGTAACGATCCGATTGTTAACATACCTAAAAGGCTTCTTGGCTGCAGCTTCAGCTGCTGCTGGTGTTTGGAGTCTGACTTTTGCTGACACATAGACAAAGAAATGAAATGAAATCTCATAAAAATCCATCAGTTATAAAATGCAGCCAGTTCCCCAGCCAGACATAAAGTTCTTTGATGGTGTGCTTTCCAACAGTCCTGGCTCTAAAGTAGGGACCGTCCAACAGTTCTAGTGCTTTTACTCAGTTCCTAGCCCCCGCTCATGGTACTGTTCCCTGTTAATGGTACTATTTGGTGGAAATGAATGATAAAAAGTGCCACACACACTCCACCAGACAAAGGCGATCCTTGTTTTCTACTAGTGTGAAGCACCAGTGCTGGAGTGAATACCAAAACCATGACATCATGGTCTGCTGCTCCCTGGTACTGACTCAATCGGTGCTGTTTTTATTTTTAAAGGTCACTTTATCTCAGCACTGTGTTATTCAGGAATTCTGCACCATTTTACAGAGCTGTGGCTACAAATAAATACATTTAAAAAAAAGGGTAATTCTTTTTTTTGTTACAAGTAGAAAATTGTTTATGTCGTAGGTGGTCTTATATTAGAACGAAATTAATTCGAAAATGATTCATTCGAAACTTATTTATTATTTAAGGTACAGAGATTTCTAGAATTACTTCATATAATCATTTAAAAAGAACGTTCCTTAATTATAATAAAATAAAGCCACCAGAAGTGCATGACGTTGCTCTCTGTTTGTGTTTTCTCTTTTCGGCTCATAGTCAGAAGTTATGAACCTCTGTTTGTGTTTTCTCTTTTTATTTTCGGCTCATAGTCAGAAGTTATGAATATGTTTAGTGCATCGGTCGTAACATATTTACAGTGGGAAGCAGCTAGCATTGAGTAATTCATTAGGGGGTAGGGTTAGAGCTACTCCCAGCAGTCATTTGGTAAGGGTGTGGTCTACCATGGACAGTTCTCCAGTCTATCATGGGCAGGGGCACCGTTAGGAATTTACGGGCGCCATGAAGGGGATTTTTACTGGGAATCTAACACAGCTGGTCTTTTTGATGCTATTTTACATGAAACTCAAGCATTTTGATGGTACTTTTGAACTTAGTGTCATATGATTGGTCGGTATTATAATTTAATTGGGAGCCCCTCTTAATCATGGGTTTTTAGAATCGGTATCCCTTTTTTGGCATCCCAGATCATGGAGCCACATTTAGGGACACAGAGCCATTATGTCTCTATATGTCCCTACAGACCCAGGGATCAAACTGAAGTTCTTCTTACTGTTGACCAAGGCAGTAACAGAATGCTGCTGCTTCTTCTTCTGCTCCCTGTAAACATCAGTGACTGATGTAAACACCGTGGTCGAGCAGCTCTAGCTCAAACCTGTCACCTTCTGTCAAGCTAAGTGAACTCTGCCTCCAAGAACGTAGCTGTGACGCCTCGGATGAGAAGTTGCAGCGAGTGCAGAGATTTTCTCCCCTTTACCACGACTGAGAAAATAGCAGGCAAGGTTAAACCTTAGCAGTTTTTTTTCTTTTAAGATAGAGATGTATCACATGCAGGCCAGAAGCAGTGCTGCAGCCTGTGAGCCGACTGCAGTCTGAGGGCCATTAGTCTTCCTGTGATACCTCCCCTGAATGTACTGGTAAGTGCTAAGCAACACCATCAGCACAGAGTCACATGACCATCTGAGATCACTCTTTGTGTTTCGCTGACTTGAACAAAGTGCAGATCGCATCCCTGCCTCATCTGCTGCCTTCTTTTTTCTTTTTCAAATGTTACCTGACAAGAGCTGACAACAACAGTCGTCATTTAAATATCTGTTGTCAACCAACTCTCCTAAGGTGTGAATTTAATTAAGTGTCTAAGAAGATGATCACCAGTCCAATCGTCATCAGTAACTGATGCTTTATTCTGTATTGACTTTCCATACGTGTACGTTTCCTCCCACAGTCCTACAATCCACAGCAAGAGGTTATTTGTTCACTCTAAATAGACCACAGGTGTGAATTTAAGAGTGAACAATGGACCTGCTCCACCGCTGCCGGGATGATATTGTCTGAGAAAATGACATTAGCCTGGAAAGTAACTCTAAACTCTGCACCGCCCCCTAGTGGCTGCCTTGCTTGACAACCATGGCAAACTTAAGGCGTGCGTTAGTTTGTGGCCAGTGATGTTTGTAGCGGACATACTTACAGGAAGCATATATTGAGCATTAGGCTAAGTGTTTCCTCTAACTTGACCATAGGTTTGAATTTGAGTGTGAATGATTGAATCTCTAAATAAATGACAATATCCAGGTTGTAACTCCGCCCCCGATGATGTCCACAGCTCCAGTCTCTTCACTGAAAACTGGTAGAATATGAAGGAATGAATATAAAAGAAAATGTAGACAGAGGGCAGCGTTGCTGCAGGTGAAAACACTACTACACCAAACTCTTGCATTTCTTAACAGTAGTG